GCGCGTGCCTGCAGACGCTCGACATTGGCAAGGCGCTTAGCAAAATATCGTTTGACACTACTGGTTTGTATCTTCACACCGACATTGGTACTGTCAGTGTTAGTGCAACACTATTAGTTTCAAGTAGTACACCGACTATCATAGAGCCTCGGAAGCCTATATATCAAGGCCTAGCGTTAAGTTCAAATTGGATAACACATAATTCTGAAAAGCTAGTATGGCTGCCGTCAGAGTATCGGCCGTCATGTTTGGCAACATCAGAGAAGACAATCGGCGTTGGTGTTGGAACTGGAAGAGTCTGGATATGTGAAAGTTCGCTGGATACATCCTAGAGCGTTTATGATGAGTTAAGTTATTATTATTATTTTCTCTTTTATCTCTATTTCATAGAGGGGGCCACAGTGGGCGAAGATTGCGAATGCCCCTTAGGCATTAAGGCATCAACAGCCCCATCAACCAAAATCCATTGAACAACGGCCAGATCATTGGGAAAAAGTAATGCATCTTAGAAATGGCCATACTTGACATCCCTAGCCACTTTTTCCCCGTTATTTGGCATTGGTTGCGGTGTTCTTAAGGTTCAAGTTTGTGCATGCCTTGGTGCCTAAGGGGCATTCGCAATCTTCACCCACTGTGGGCCGGGGATCCAGGTGAATATATGCTTCTTAATTTGCCACAGTGAAGTTTCGAGCATCTTCTAGTCAGCTGACTTGTAGAACCACGTGTTGAAGTTTTGCTACTTGAACCTCAGCAGAGGTAGACAAACGCATCGGTAACGCTATCAGTAAGGATGGGCGACCCGCTCCGGCCACCCCCTTGTAAGTTAGAACTATAATGTGAAGTACTTGTATAGTGGAAAATCACGTGGGTTAAGTGTGGCAGTGGGTGAAGGGTGGCACGCCAAGGCTAGAGTGGGGCAAGCCTCGTTAGAGCGCTTGAACTTTGGTAACTTAAGTTAGTTATCTAAAATACAAGGGGTGCGGCTGTCGCACTTAGGTGTGCACGGGATGAAGCGGGATTGGAAATGATATCAAGCAGCAGAGTATGATTGATTGTGTGTGTTTGGTGTCTCTTCTGTCGGTCGGGTTACCCCGCCCGACGTTCTATATAGCTTTGATGGCAAGCTTATTAATGCAGTTCTTGCCTCAGGCCTCCACGGCTGATGCCTTGGTCTGCGACACACCCCCCCAGATTTCACTCTGTTTCAGATGAGGTCTGAACGTCTTGTGGACTATCCTTTTCTGATGCGCATCCTGGATTAATCCGCGATGAGATATCAACCAGGCCTAGTTGGCGTACAAAGTGTGCGTGTTTCTCTGTTGAGAGGGGCTTTGTGAAGCCATCCGAAGGCATGCCCGTGGTCGGAACCCACTGGACTACAACTTTGCCACTTTGATAGATCTGCCTCAGCCATAAGCTATGGATATCGACGTGTTTTAGTTT